GTATTTTTTTGGAGACAAGGTCTTACTAAGTATCTTAGGAGCTTGCTAAATTGCTGAACCTTGAACTTGGGACCCTCCTGCTTCGGCTTCATGAGTTGATGGAATTACAGGTGTGCACCCCAGCGAAAGCTGTGGATTTTTTTTTTTTTTTTAACAAGAGGAAACTTTGAGTTTTATAAACAACTTTTTATTCACAACCTAATAATTTACTAATCCTAAAAATAATTCCTTACTCTCCGTGGCAACTTCCTAAACTAGAAATGCTTCTTGTTTTCCCTTTTTCTGTTTCAAAATTAGCTTTGTCACACTAGGTTTAACCCTGTTTATTCTTGCTTTCACAGAGCATCTTAAGTAATTTAGTTTTTTTAAGATCATCCTACTGATTTATTTATCCTCTCCTGTCTTCTGTCATCTCTTAGCAGATATGCTTTTAAAAGTCTTACTTTAATTATATGAGTAAATTTACAGTATTTGTCTAATATGTAAACTTAAAGAATAGCTATTTTAGATTCCTATGGTAATGAAACACTGTTTGGCAGTAAATAAATATTTTAGCAAATTTAATAGGCTACTATTGACAGTTAATTTAGGTAACTATAAAGAATCTAAAGGTACATTATAATTTAGTATTTTATATTTCCATACTACATACAATTAGCTAAAAATGGCCAAATAACAACCTGTATAAATGGTAAATATTTTAACAAAATATCGATAAGAGTGTTGTACTTAAAGAACAAGCTGTATCTAATGAAAATTAAATGTAAGAAAATTTCTATCATGAGAATGTACAGCTCCTTTTAAGTTACATGTTGAGTCAAAGTTCAGTTTGCACCTTACAAAATGTTGTCCGAAATAACAATAACTTTTATTAAATAAAGAAATCAAGGTTGAACAAATTTAGAAGGAAATGGAGAATGCAACTATTACTCAAAAAAGAGATTCTGCAAATCTTTCCTACAAAGAGGACCATTCTATCCCAGAGTATCTACAAGAAAGACAGTACATTTACTTTCTTATGCTATAACAACCAAGCCTGGTGTTTCTTTCAAAGTCTTTGTCAATCAAAATTAAAGCATGAAAGACAATTATTCAGTGCTTTCCAATACTTTTCTCCTCAAGCACACACTGGGAAAAAAAAAAAAAAAACAACTGTAAGGCAATCAGTCTGGATGTTCTGATTACTTTAATCCAGTAAAGGTGAAATGCATTGGCAAACTCTAATTTAGAGAAGGATCATAAGACAACCTAGAAAATAACCTCTTCCTCTACAGGCATCATAAAAGAGAGTAAGTTATATGTAAATATCATAGGAAATAATTTTTGATTACTTCTAGTAAGAAAATGCATGAGTGAGTGAGTAATGACTCAACATAGAATGATGCCTTCTTAGAAAAAATTCCTGGGCAGCCTGCTTTTTATTTGTACTGGCTCTGTTATTAAAAAAAAAAAAAAAAAAGAGTACAGCTGTCCCTCAGTATTTAAGGAGGTTGGTTTCAGAACCCCCACCCAGGCCCCAGCAGATACCAAAAGGTGAGGATGCCCAAGGCCCTTACATAAAAAGGTGTAGTATTTGCCCACAATCTACACACATCCTCTCATACAGTTTAAATTATCTCTAGATTACTTATGATACTTAGTACAATTGCAAATGCTATGAAAGTAGTTTTATACTCTGTTGTATAGGGAATAATGAGTAGGAAAAAAGTATATGTTTTCAGTATTTAAAAAAAAAATTTATTCCTCAGTTGGTTTAATCTGCAAATGCAGAAACTGATTCCGAGGACCAATTGTATAATATAACCCTCTAGGAAATAATAATAAGAATTATTTTTAGTACATATAATTGTAAATCAAAGGTTGGAAAAGTCTTCTGCAATAGCACTGTTTCTCTCATCATTGAGAAAAGTTCTTCTTCACTATGGTTACTAGTATTCTAACTTACAAACATCCTTTAAAATATTATCTAGTATGTCTTTTTAGCCAACAAATAACCATGTGCACTTTCTTTTTTTTTCTTTTTTTTTAATATTTATTTTTTTAGTTTCTGGCAGACACAACATCTTTGTTTGTATGTGGTGCTGAGGATCGAACCTGGGCCGCACGCATGCCAGGCGAGCGCGCTACCGCTTGAGCCACATTCCCAGCCCCTATGTGCACTTTCCTTTATTGTTTATCTATTATTTCTTAAAGGTTACAAATTTATTCATGGAGCACTGGGGCAAGAAGTTCACATGTAATTATATAACCAAGAGGCAAATGAGTACAGAATCATTTTTGTCAGTTTTTATATAATGAACTATTACATAGGAAAAACTATGAAAATGAACTGTTTTATTACTGAGAAAGCTTTTAAAAGAAAGCTATCATTAATTTGGGAAGAACCTGGTAGTTACAGTGTACTTCTTTAAAAAAAAAAAAGAAAAAAGAAAGAAAGAAAAAAAGAAAAATCCAGAAAGAGAGACTAGAAGAACACTAATCAATAAAAATATCAATGGAAACGAACAGTAATGATTATGAAAGTATGTATACTTCTAATTCATCACTGGGTTCTTCAGAAATAGTGCTGGAAGTCTATCACTAAGCAGAGGAGGCCAATTATCTGCTTACTTCAATGCTACCATCTCATTTCTCATCCGACTCTGCAACACTGCTGTTTTCAATTGATCGCCATGTTACTACCTCTGCCTTTGATCAAGTAAGTCCCCACAACCTAGAATGCTTTACTATAGCTAATCCCTGTAAGAAATATGGCAACCCTCCATTTTTTCCTTTATGTCGACTCTGAGATGTTTATTATCTGTTTTACAAATAACAGGGTTCCTCAAGGAGAATTAACTAGGTGAAACAACAGGTGTTCTGATTTCTGGTCAGTACTTTTAGCAGAAGAACCTATTTTCTTGCTAACATATCATGATTCCATACTCTAGGAGAAGATTAAGTGTTTTCTCCCTCCTTCTTAAGCCCTATTCACAGGGAATAGATTTGTGTTCTTTCTGAATCCCATGTTTATTTTTATTAGCTTTATGTAAAAGCCACATTCTGAACCATCACTGAATCCATTAATCTGAGTTATCTTTGACCAGCCTCAACCTCACTCTAAGTTAATATAGATTTGGTCCTTTAATTATTCTAAAATAAACTGTTCATCCCTGTTAATATACCCAAAATTCTGTTTTACTAATTTATTTTCTATTTTACATCTAAGTCATCTTTTCCTTGTTCTTATGATTTTCCTAGCAAGTTTTCTCCCAACTCTTATTCCATTTTTGACTTTTTAAAAATTTCTATTATTTTAAAGTTTCATTAAAAAAAAAAAAACACCTTAGATCTTATTTTGCTCAATTTCTAAAATCTTCAACTTATTTTTCAGCAACATTTCCAGTTATCTTTGCTCATACCAGAAACATTATACTCTAGACAGGTCACTATAAGCCTTTTCTTAGATGTCTTCAAGCTTTAAAAAGTATTATCATGTGTCACGTATCATTTCATCTAAGGCTAAAAGCACCTTTAAATATTCAAACTTTTTAAAAGATAACATGTTAAATTTATTATATTCACTTCTGACTTCAATTGGATTTTCTACAACACCAAATGCCACTCTTGTTAATTGAGACACACTGTGTGTGTAACAGAAGTAAATTATAAAATTGTAAAACATTGGAGTTAAAACACTTTCAAGATGATTTAAGGTAACTTTCCCTTTAACTCTCCATGTGACTGGGCCACAGATAAGTTAAACAACTCAAGAAACCAAAACCCCCAAATAAAAGAAGGTTGTATTCAAAATGTTCATGTATGAAAGAATTATTTGGATAAAGAATTGTTTATTAAAACACACTTCCACAAATACAACATATAAGTTAAACAGCCTCATAAACTGGTTCACAAATGTATATTTAAAGGGAATTCTAGTTACTTTCAAGGGTCTTAAAAATTTCAAGCACTTTTCATTTTGGTTGTTTATGCTCTCCTTTTCCTTTATGCATAAATGATACTACATCACTCAGCTTTTTATATATGATTGGTTTTGGCTCTCAAACAAATTATGAAGAGCTTTTCACACTAACTGAAAGAGCAAATAACTTACATTATCAAACATTACAAAAACACATAAATGTAAGAAAACATTTATCTGAGTGGAAGATCATAGCATTAAAAATTAGGCTGGCCACCTTGTAATTTTATGATCCTAAAATAAGTACATTAATATGGGGAATGAAGAGAGAACCTGAGAACAAAAGAGCCTAGGGCAAGAATCAGCAATATTTTCCAGCAAGGGAGGTCAGATATGCATGGTCTCTGTTTCAATTACTCAACTCTGACTTTATAGAGTAAAAAAAAGTCACAAATAAACATAATTGAACAATTTCAGTCATAGTTAATAAACTTTCATTTATGGACAAGGAAACCTGAATTTCACATAACTTTTATGTGTCACAAAATTATGATTCTTCTTGGATTTTTATGAACCATTTAAAAATATAAAACCACTGTTAGCTAATAGTTCTTTTTTTTTTTTAAATATTTATTTCTTTTAGTTATTGGCGGACACAACATCTTTGCTTGTATGTGGTGCTGAGGATCGAACCCGGGCTGCGCTACTGCTTGAGCCACATCCCCAGCCCGCTAATAGTTCTTATTTTAAAAATGTGGTAGGCCTGAACTACCATTTGCTAATGTCTGGTACAGGGAATAGTGGAGAGAAGGGAAGCACCATGTAAATGGTTTAATAACTGGGGGGGGGGGCTATTCATTAATGTTCTTGCACTAAACTTAAACAGAAAAGCAGCACACACACCCAATGTGTATGTCAGTTCCAGTTCTGAAAACTATCATATTTCACTGTCTTTAACAGAAAAATAGCTCCAGGAACACAATCAGAGTCACAAGAAAAAATAATTCTTGTAAGTAATATACTAATCATAAATTTAAATAGATAATCCATTTTGTAGAACATATCCTAAACTTATAATGATAGATACATTATTCATTACCATTTTGTCCCTGAGTCGCTCTCCACGGATAAAAAAGTCAGCACAGCCATTCTCTTCCTGATGAGGGACTTTGAAGACAGTGACGCTGCTTAGTCCACTCCCTCCAAGGGGTAACCATCCACCACTTGAGTCATCTCGGGTCATCACCACAGCTCGCACTCGTGCATAACTATTACTAAAACAGAAGCAAAGATTGGGAATTAGCTTTTCCATAAACAAAAATCAGCCGGGCTGTCAGTCTTAAGAATCCAAAGATCACAAATAGTTAACATGTGCAGACTGACAGGTTTACTATTTCTATGACAGTCCACAGGAAAAAAAAAAAGTACTTGAAAAAAAAAATCACAAAATAACTACACTTAAAGGTTATTCTTTATTTTGAATATTAACCTTATAATAAAAGGCTACAACACTCATTTTAATTTATCATTTTAGTAGTCCAAGCATATTTGATCCTCACAAAGGGGGTCGTGAAGTAGGCCCACAGACAAATATTGTCAAACTACACTGGCTATCATCAAACTTCTCTCTATATATGTCCATTTGTTGCAGCATTAGAGCCAGGACAAATTACTGCAATATTTCAGCACATTTAACTATAGCATCTCTAAGTTCTTAATCATTCTGGAATACATCATGCATGAAATGTTAAAACAAACATGCTTAGGCTTACATGCCTCATTTTTTTCCTAACAAATGGAAATCTAAATAATTTACACAGATTATATGCAGAATAATGTTCTGTTTAATATAGTTATTAAGCAAATTGGTGTGTAGAAAGCTTTCATGATTTCTTTCTGGCAGACTATCTTAAGAGACTGCAGTGTAGTTCCATCTCAGAATCATTTCCCAATGTTAACAAAGGTCTTTACATAAAATCTAGAAAATGTGTTTAACATACTAAATGTTCTACAAAACCGACATCTAAGACTTTTAGTTCTGAAACTTTTAATATAATACATAGTAATAGAATCCTAAGAGCAGTACACCTTGCTGACTTCTTAGAAAATTATATTGAATGTTTATGCTGACTTCTTAAAAAATTATATTGAATGTAACTTAAACATGTCTTGGTTATTATGAATATGAATTGAGGGCCTATGTAACGGTTCTGTGCTTTTTAGCGTGTCACTGCACTAAGTTGTCTATTGTCACTGTTTGTCTGAAAGCTTCCCCTTGCTTTAAAAAAAAAAAAAACTTTATATATTTATTTGAGGTATACTTTACATACAATAACATGCATCAATTTAAATACAGAAGAATTTAGAGTTACTGAATGCTAGCAAATGTATATATGTATATGTGTGTGTACATATACATACACACACACACACACACACACACACACACACACACACACATAGATAGTCCTATCTGAATCTCTATCTGAATTTGTATGGTGAAATCCCTAACCCTTAAAGTAACGGTATCAGAGGTGGCGGGAGATGGGGGCAGGTGATTAGATCATGAAGGTAATGCTCTCATCATTAGGTTATAATCATTATAAAAGAAACCCCCCAAAGCTACCTCTTTCTTTCCACTATGTAGTAATGGCTAGAAGGTACGATTCAAGAATCAAAAGTAGGTCTTCACTGGACACCAAATCTGTTGATACCTTCATCTTGAACTTCCTACCCTCTATAACTGAGAAATTTCTATTGTGTATAAGCTATAAGTAGCTTATACACATGGTATTTTGTTATGGTAGCCCAAACAGACTAAGACATGTAGAACAACCTAATAATCAAGATATAAGGAAGGCATTTTTATCACTTTAGAAAATTCCTTTATGTCTCCTTTCTGCCAAGCAAGTAACCATTGTTTTTACTTCTTGTATACCAATTAGTTCAACCTATTCTGAGCTGTTATTAAATGGAATCAAATATAATTATCACTTCTATACCCTGTTAGGGTTTGGATGTGAGGCGTTCACCCAAAAAAGCTCATGTTAGACAATGCAGGAATTTTCAGAGGTAAAATGTGAGAGCTGTGGATTAAACCATTTGATGGGTTTAATCATCAAAATAGACTATTGGGTGATAACTACAAGCAGGTGAGGTATACTGGAGGAATTACGTCACTGGGTGTGTACCCTTGGGATTATGCTGTTTTCCCTGACTCCTAGAGCTCCCATCTCGGCTTCCTGGCTGCCCTGAACTGAGCTGCTTTCCTCCATTATGCCCTTCTATCATGATGCTCTGCCAGAGCAATAGAGTGGGCTGGCCATGGACTGAATCTCTGAAACTATGAACCCCAAATAAACTTTTCTTCCTCCAAATTGTTCCGTGTCTTTTGGTCACAGCAACAAAAAACTGATCAACATACATTCTTTTTATATGACATCTTTTTCTCATGTTGTTTTGTGTATCAGAAGTTCATTTTTCTTTTTACCAAGTCATTTTCAGCTGAATAAATATATCACAATTTTTTCTTTATTCTTTCTTACATAGATGAGCTTATGGACTTTTCCTCGTTGCTGGCTTTGTGAATAAAGCTTTTGTACAAGTCTTTTTGTGGAGATGTTTTCATTTTTCTTAGATAATTACCTAGAAATTGAATTAATGGATCATAAGATAGATACAAGTTTATACAGAAAACCAAAAGTTTTCCTATGTGGTTGTACTGTTATATATTCCATTAATAATGTATGGTGGTTTCATGTGTTCTGTGTCCTTGCCAATATTTAGGTTTTTCAGTTTTTAAGATTTTACTCATTGTGATGTATCCTACTGTGGTTTAAATTTTTCATTTCCCTGATAATGCATAATGTTGAGCATCTTTTCATATAATTTTTCATTTCCCTGATAATGCATAATGTTGAGCATCTTTTCATATATTTAATATAAGATTAACTATTATCATCATCATTATTATTATGTCTACAAAACATTTAAAATAGAAGAAGTTGCCATGTGGTAACTCAAGCCAGGCAAGAGTAAGGAAACAATAAAATTTACATGGAAAACCATAATTCTCCATTGCTCTCATCAGATTCTTATTTGGGCCCAATTACTGAAAACCTTCAACACAGAGAACTGGTGAGAAGAGGCGTGGATGCATAAGGGCTAACTTGGTGTAGATATCAAACTATACTCTTTCTTCTAGGGTAGGATGGAACAAGTACTTCTACTACAAATAAACATGGTATGCATCTTGAGACTGTGGAAGCATTACTACATAAATAATCACTTTGGGGAGATAGCTTCAATTCTAAGGCAAATGAAGAAGCTCTTAAAAGATGCTTAGTTTCTTCTAATTTAAAATCTAAATTGTACCTAAACTTCTAATCTCTGATTTTATTTAAACAATTATTCTAAATATATCCTTTCACATGTAGTAGAGGAATCAAACTACTGTTTTAATCTATAATAAAACACCAGACTGAGTAATTTACAAAGAACAGAAATATCACACAGTTCTGGAGGGATCAAGTCACCAGCAGGTTCACTGGTTAAAGGTAGTTCTCTGCTTCCAAGATAGTGCAACTTCTGGAGGACAGGAATGCTGGATTTTCCCACTGCAGAGTTTTAACTGGCTAAATACTGTATCTTTGGTCTAAAGTGACCTTCTTTTTCAGTTTCTTTTCTCCCTTGCAAATCCTTCTTGCTTTGTGATTACTGAGCCTATTCTATGACCCCTCCCAACTGCTGGAAAAGTAGAAGAAAATATTTGAAAAGACCAAGTTTAAAACAGAATGTTGAATAATTAAATTCCTTAGAAAATATACAGACTCTAATAACATATTGGGACATGTCTTGGTACACAGAATACTTGAACAGTTTTAATACTGATTCTTATTCTTCTCATTTTCTGATGACTACCAAAAGTTCCCACCTTTTCATTTTCTCCCACTTGCTCACCATAGAGAAACCAGAATATATTCAAAGCCAGATAACATAGCTATCTACTATACTGTACTGCAGACTTGTATATGTGGTAGCATAATGCACTGAATACTTTCATGAACTTATAATAATTAATTAACCATAAGTTTGATTTTGTTACTATGAGGTAAAAAAAAAAAACAACAATTGCCCATGGTGTTTATAAATTAAGGTTCTATCACCTATCAGTTCATTCAACTAAGTAACTGGAAAAAGTTATCAATCACCATAGTACAAAATTGACTTGTACAGAATTGTAATTGATCATATATTGGTTTCATTTTTGAACCATTTAAAATATATGTATTTGTTCTTTACAAAGTGTAATAATTTTATGACTTGAGAGAATGCTATGACTCCACTTAACTCACACTCAAGTTAACTAACCTGCAAGGAAATGTTATCTTGATAAAGCCATAAATCAAAGGACCTAAAAAGCCATTTATAGAGCAATCTTACTTTTCAAGACCCAAGTCAATTTCACATTTGTTCACCTCTTGGAAGGGACTTTGAATCCCCAAAACTGTATTCAAATGTGAGTTCTTAGACATATATGTATTTTCCTAGAGAAGTCAGTGCGTAGTTTTCATCACAATTTCAATAGCATAAATGATTACCCTAGCACACCAATTTTAAGAACTACTACTACTAAAAACAAACAAAATTACTTGTACTGCTCTGGTTCTTGCTCAGATCTGTTTCCTAAGTTCAGATACATTTTAGTTTCCTGCTGATAGTTTATAATACAATGGATGACTGTTCTTAAGCTTAACATTTCTAAAACAAGTTTTTTCCCTACTTTTGTCTCTCCTCTCCACAATATACCTTATTAACACCTTGATTTTAGACCAATAAGATCCATTTGAATTTCTGGCCTCCAAACTACAATGTGATCAATTTCTATTGTTTCAAGCCCCTGAAGTTTGTGTTAATTTATTTCAGCAGCAACAGAAGACTAATATAAAACATAAGGGAAAACCTTCTTGAGGATATGAAAGCAATCTATTCAAGGAGATAAACATAACTATTTTCAATTTGTAACTACAACAGTACTAAAACAACCCTCTCACATACCACAATTGAGAAGAATCCTGGTCAGCACAAAAATTTATGCTATTTTTTCCATATAATGTCAAAATATCCTTTGCTTTCTATAGTACATTTTAAGCAAATACCATCCATATAGTAAACATTATGACAGAGACTGAGTTTAGGAGATAAGTATTTAATAGAAGTAATTTAAGATGATATATAACACTTCACAATATAAGTACTTGCTTTGCAAACTATA